ATATATATAAAAACAAATCCAATGATGGTTTTACGTGTGATTGCAAAGATGGTTAAACTTTGCTCCATAACTTGGTTCCACACTTGGCTTTAAGGTAGTACAGTAGTATCAATATGATTCTGATAACCTCTTCAGTATTCATGTATCTCTGAACTCGTGCTTCCCTGAGGAAATGACTCTAATCTTTTGTCTGTGTTTGTGTCTCAGGAGGTGACCAGTCAGCCTGTGATGGGCTTCGACCCTCTGCCTCCACTGGACTCGGTGATGTCGTACACCCGACCAGAGAGGTAATGGAGGACACGTACACCTGTGCACATGAAATCCCATCGCACAGTCAAAGAAGACGCAAATATTGTGCTTCACAAACCAGCAGGCTTTATATCCGCAATTTGCTTTTACACCATAATGACATTTTTGTACGTGTGTTTGTGTGTATAGGCAGCATGTTGGTGCAACCAATGAGAGTACATTGTCGCTGTTTTTCCGGTCTTTACTGCCAAACTTCAACCTTCAGGTGAGTTCCATGGATCGGGCAAAATAGTTCTGGCAAATTTAATTGTGCTTTAGTTTTATTGAAAGACGCACAATATGCTTGTCGTCCATGAATTTAAAAAAGGGCAAATAAACCTTAAAACTGAATTAATGTATGGTATCAATGGAATGCTGTGGATCTCAGTCATAATTTGTGAATTCAAAGTCTTCAACCTGGAGAGCAAACTGTAGTGATGTCATCTGAGGATGAATCTTGGTGCCGCTGCATTGATGTATAATAAAAACGTTGTAGGACTCTACAAAGGACCCAATGATGTGGATGTGGGCACATCATTGGATTAACAGCTGTAAGCCTTATATTCAAGTAAAACTCATTTGTAATAAGTTGTGTAAACTCACAGTCGCTGAATAGTCCACTGTGAACTGACATGCATTGAAGAGTGTCAACGGAAATCATAACTGATCCCGTTGATGGTCTAATTTCCAGCCAGATGTCCCAAAAATGAACTGTTTTCTTTGGATTTACTCTCAAAAAAATCAATGAAGGAGCACAATGTATATTGTGTTGAAGGTTTGGGGTTTCTCTTCAACTATTACTCAAATAACACTCAATGCTATTTAGTAGCAGGATGCTCCAGGGCTGGTGGAAGTATAAGATAAAGGATTGTAAAGGATGGTAAAGGATTTTGGGAAATGTCTCACCACACACGCTTAACTGAAGGAATATTTCCCCCAAAGACACATGGTTACCCTGAAGGGAGGGCAACCGCAAAATATCAAAGAAGGCATATGACCTTGTTTCACTTAATTCTTTTACAGTGTCACTGAAGACAATAACAATATTCATGAAGTGCAAATTAGTTCCTGGTCTTGTCTTTGCTGTCTCTTTCTTAATTAATAGTGAAGTTTGATGCTTAAATATCTTTATATATCTTCACATATCCTCATTATTAATGTAAAGGACCAAGTTATAAAGCTACAATTATTGTGAGACATTTTCTCAATCTTACCTGTATTTATAAGAACACGGTCTTTTGAATGTGTCTCGTGTCCATTTCTCTGCTTAAACTTAAACATCAAACCATTTCAACCATTCCCACAATCGCTGGCCTGCGTTGTGATGGCTGCATTTTGCTATACTGTGACGGTAGCCCTGCAGCCTATATTGCAGGTGGAATTATTTTTTTCTATGTTTCATATGTAACCTCCAATGGCTACCCTTGTGGACTTGCATGAGGTAAAAGTTTGACTTTACTTTGCGTTTGAGATTGCACATTTGAATGAAATAAGTGTTTTTCTGAGGATCTTTTTGCCCATGAATTGTTACTTTGAGGATACCTTTGATGATCTTTTATGCTGACCAGCATTAAGAATGACTATATAGAAATATCACTCATGGTCTCGTGTACGTATGAAGGTGATATATTGAGACTAATTCGTAACCAGTTAAAAGTTCCTCACGGTAACTTTGACCACAGTTCAGTGAGATTTTTTATTTGTTTTAAACGTCAGCAATAATTCGGTCAATTGCCGCAATTCCACAGTCATCCTGAGTCCATATTGTCCCAGCAACAAAAGAGTGTTTGCTCTTTCTGCTCATGTACTCCACGTTATTTGCTTAGTCCTTGTTGCATATGGCGACAAACACATTTTGATGTAGAGCAGGACGGTGAGATAAGAACGTACAAAACCACTGCAGATTGGTTGTTGACCACTGCGGTGTTGAAAGCGTCAGTCATATTTGCAAGGTGCCGCCAATCTTTATTGGATCGTCACTGTTTAAGACATGACGAGCCGTAGAGAGATGAGAATCTGTGGTCTTTTATAGCATCAATGGGTGAATTTCTGTAAAAAAAAAAAAGCTTTCAGGAGCTAGTGGTTTTATCTTAATGATCTCTCAAAGTTCAGGGACCGCCTGTATAAATGAAGACAGCATGCACCACTCTCCACACGAAACCAGGAAAGCTGAGCTGTGTGATAGCAATGGTTCAAAGGAAAAACAGAGGAGGATGGCTTGTTATTCAGCACTGAATGATAACGTGTATTTTAATGTTGTAATGTGAGTTAATATAGTCTTTATTTCACCCTTAATTGTACAGTCCTGGGGAGAAATCCATGTCGGATCATGAATTTAAAGGTACTCTGTGGCGTTGTTGACCAATAGTATCGCAATGTTTTTATCAGTGGGTCTCCTCTTTGTTTGTTCTCGTGCACACACATTGAAATGGTGACTTAATGCCAATAGTTGCCAAGCTAGTAAACATGGATCTAAATAATGCACAATTCATGCATTTTATTTACTTAAAAATCTGCTTGGCAAATGTTTTACAGGGAAGTGAAAGCATTCAACATGTTGTACCACCAGGATGCCGATGATTTGTTTAGTCGAGCAACACTGCATGTAAACAGAACTTGTTTGTATACAAGAAAACTCCACAGGGTACATTTTTAATCGGTGTCGTGAAAGACACTGAGTAGAATTTAAACATTTCTGACCGCAATGTATTCAATGAATGGGCTGAAAGCAACAAATAGACTGAACCCATTTTTTTTTTTTTTTTTTTTTTTTTCTCATTTTAACTTGCCATCAGAATAATTTGTAAGATTCTTGAGATAACCAAACAATCTGTAAGGGTCCATAATATTTACTAGTGAATAATGTTCCGACTGCAACGCTACTTGGTGCTGTTGAAGGAGTTTGGTGGTGCCAGACCGAGCACAGAAGAAGTCTGCTCTCTGTCCAAACAGGGTTCAAACAAGGCGGCATTGACAATGTTACGATGATTGAGGTGCTTAAAACATGGAACATTGTCTAACCAGGGGATCGTAAATGTTACGCAAAGTTCCATCCACCCTGATCATGTTATCTACTTATGGAGAGGAAAAGATATGATTTAGATAAAAGAAACAAAGTTAAGACGAGGGAAGATATGCTGCACAGTTCTTCTTTGTTTAATGCTGACGTAGAGTTAAATATCTGCAAACAGCATAATGTTGGGTTATAAAACACCACCTGGATTATCCTGGTGTTTTATTCAGCACATAAATGTTGATTTGTTAGCGTTGATTGTTTTCATTTACTTATGTACCCATTAAATGGGATATTTTAGTGTTAATAACAAACGTTATAAAATTAAAAACCAGTAGGGAGAATCATTATGGTTTTATAGCTTTAGGTGTCTTTCAACACCATTAAGTGCTTCCAGCAAGTTGAGACTATTGAACCAGGGGTAACAGGATTAAGTTCAAATATACTTACAAAATTACGAAATATAAGAAACAATGTAATTTATTAATTCCACAGAGGTAGGAATGTTACCCAGTCAAGGGTGGTAAATAGAAAACAAAATGTCACTTTGAGAAGGAAAACCACTCGCATAGAAAGTACTAAGTATCTCTCTATTTGTATTTTAACTGAAGTCTCTTTCCTTGATAAGGGTGGACTGAGGCAGGAGGATGACATGGAAGTTGCTCGAGCTGGACAGGAGCTGAACCAGGAAGTGAATCGTCTAATGGTGGCAATGAGGGACATGCTGGCCAACATCAGGTTTCAAGAGCCACCAAGAGAGGACAACCCGTACAGAGATGAGGATGAGTGGGACTGAGAGAGGAGGGAGACAGAGGTGGACAACAATAGCTACAATAAGAAATATGAACATATTTAATGGTGTTGGTGGGTTTATAATAATTTAGAAGAACAACTGAAGTCTTTTTTTTTTTTTTTTTTTTTTTAATTGTCAGTTATCAGAATACTTAAGTGAAAGGAAGAGATGACTCTGAGACAATCCAGACAATTGTGAACATGGGAAACTTTTCTCCAGAGTCAGAAAACAGATGAACTCGTAATGACTCTCAAGTTGACAGTTTTATTTGTAATAAACATTTAGCAGTTCCAACATCTGCAGTCATCGTCAGTGAGCAGGACTCTTCCTCTGGTTTCTGACTTTCAGGGAGTTGTTCACGTTTAGGGGACTGGTTTATAAAATAAGAACCACATTGAGACACACCTTATTTTCAGTGAAAGGTTTTATTGCCACAGAATCAGACAAAGTTTCTATTTACACATACATTGAAATATATGTAAAACTCTGTATAAATACCCTCTCAGACCACAGTGCTTTCCTACCGAATAGTTTGCTGAAAAGTTTCAAAATATGACAAGGGACTCCAAAAAAGCATAATAATTAGTAATAAAAAATAAAAAGTGCTAAAAGCAATGGCTCAAATTATCACATTATTTTAGAAAAGCAAAAAGTTATTTCTGGATAAAAATGACAAACAAATCTTGATGAGATTTAAGCAAAAGTTGATGGATCTCACTTTAGCCTTTACAATTTATTCAAATGTAATTTTTCATAAACATGAATGAATGTAGGTCTTGTCTCCTGCTAGTTTCTGAATCGAACGTATCACAATGCTGAGATTCTGTTCTTCTGTCTTATGTAATGAAGGAATCTGTTGTTAAATGGTTATTTTGTCACATGGTCGTTTCATTAGAAAACCGCAGTCTGAGAATCTAATCACATTTTCTTGTAGTTCTACTTGCCTTTGTTTTTGATCTTATCATTACCGCAGGATGTCTGCTGTTTCTCTCGTATGTGACCTCCCTCCCGCTCGATTTGGAAATCAACTCCACATTTCAGTGTGAGTCGACTTGCTACCTTTTGATTATTTGTGGCTTACCCAAACCAATAAAACAGTTTCCCAATAATCTGCTGTCCTCAAAGTTATGTTCAGTGCTCGAGGATGACACGTATTTTCTAAATGTCGCCTAAATTGATTTTTTTGTTATTTCCTTTGCGTGCTCAGTCAGATACTCATCACCTGGTTCTTAGTGGCTGATTCACTGCAGGTAAAACCTGAGGCTATAACTTTACTTCTGGCAGCACGTCAACAAAATATCAAGTATTTCATTCCAACTTCACTTGTGTGTCACCATCTTCCCAGATTTTCGATCTCGTGTTGCTATTTGTTCATCATAATTGCTCAGCCTGCAGCGCCCTCGCATGGCTTTCATCTGGCAAAAGGAAGAATCTGTCTCATGAGGACGTACTCCTTTTCTCTTCCTGTCATACCTCAGGCAGCATACTTAAAGCTCTTATTCTTTATGAATCTCTTTACTTGTTATTCACAATTACTACACCCAATATTTATTTCATAGAGAAGGCATTCAATTAAAGTAAAACTAAAGAGTTCTTGGTCACACACAGGACATAAACTCTGGAGTCGTTAAATAAATCGCCCTCTACACTGTAGCTGTTCATACATTAACGCTTACTCGGCGAGCCACATGATAACAGTGTGACTGTTCTTAATTGTTAAATGATGTCATTCCTATAGTTCACCTGGAGCTATGGTTGAGTCTCTGAGGACATGTGATTGTCGGCAGTATAGAAAGGCTTTCATATCTGTGCCTCAGAGGAAGCTGTGCGTGTGAGGATCAGAGACTCCTTGTTGCTTCCACTGCAACGTGTACAGTAATCAGTCATTACTGTACACTTAATGTTAACGTCAACAGGTACTAGACCTCAAACTTAAAATAACACCTGTAGCAAATCTAAGTCTGTAAAATATCCGAATCAACCGCTTAACAAAAAAAAAAAAAAGAACAAGGACTTCTTTCAACCTAACTTCTGTAGAAACGCCTTGTGGAAAAAAGATTGAGAGTCAAACCAGAGCAAATGCATGTAGGGCTGCAGCTAATGATTATATTAATTATTGATTCATGTGCAGATCATTTTCTTGATTAATTTAATAATCATTTAGTCTGCAATTTAGTGAAAATAGCCCGTCGCAAGTTTCTAGACCCCAAGGGGACTTCTTCTGTTCTTCATATGTTTTATTTTATCAAAAAAACGGAGCAAAACCCAAATACACTCAGGATTACAATGATATGAAGCAGCAACTCCTTAAACTAGAGAATGATTAAGTTTTTTCTAGCAAAATCAATCGATTATCAAAATAATAAAAAGTTTTGAATTAATTGTCTGTCATTGATCTTTTCAGGCCTAAAGGTGTGTTATGGAAAAAAACGTAATGTTTTTCACTCTCTCTCGTGCCATGTCACCACATTAACATGACTTTACTTGGGAACCTCCTTTGACAAGCAGAACCGCAATGTTACACTATCCCATAATGCACTTCAGTTATTAAAGTCTATAGTTCTATTCTGATGACACAGCATACTTGGGGGGGGTGTATTAGCCATGAAGTATTAGCCATGTATATCTATTTATGTTTCACATTCTGAAATTGATAATAATAATCAATAAATCCTTCACATAACACTGGATGTTAAAAAAAGTGTCTCTACTTAGACACTTCTGTAGATGACTTTTAAACCACATTCAGTTTTAAACTTGGATGTCCATGATGCTGCAAATGACCAAACGCATGTTTGTTGAGCCTTTAACACTTTGTGTGACTTCAAGGAAGAAATGCTCAGCGTTCAGACTCTAGCTTGTCACCAGCTGTTTAAGCCAAACAGTTGTAAAGAATTAAAGTGTCCAAGGTCAAGAAACCAAAGGAATGAACTCAAATATGGAATTATATAATGCATGGAGTGATGTTTTTCAAGTACCTTTTAAATTAGAAAGCAATGATCAAGGGGGGGGGGGGTTGACAGGTGAAGTGGTCACATTGCGCATGATGCGTATTGTTGAGGGACAATCTATCACCGTTATTGTTATTGTTAAAATCAAAACGCGTTCGTAAATTGAATAGGAAACGTTGTTCAAACAAACATGTCAAAGAGATAAAAGATGAAATACTAAGCTGAACATCATCCCCACCCTGCATTCTTTTCCCCAAAACTGCGCGGGTGTCAGACATTACTGAGACATGACCACTGCCCAGCTGACGTTTGCTTGAGAGGAGGAGTCGCCTTCTTCAGAATCCAACATCACTGTGAGAAATGTTCAAGAAAGTCACAGTCTCTAATTCCCGAGGTACAACAGTCTGAGTCGATACAAGGACTTTTGTGGATGGTCGGATCGAGCGCTCTATGAGAGTGAAAACAACATGAATTGTGAGTGCAATATTTTGATGCGGAGGGGCATTGTATGGACTCATTGCTGGACAAGTTGCATAAATAGAAAATAAGAAAACGTGTGGCGAGGACAGACGCACTTTTCTCTAAAACAAGCGCTCAAACTCTCAGGAATGAATTTGAATGTTCCCCCAGCTAAGAAGTATTTATTTAATTTGTATTATTTACTGGCTGAAATAGACAGTAATAACGCTTTGTGGATATTTGACAGTCAACACGTTGATGGATCCAATAACTAAACAACTCACTTGATTTTTCCAACTGGCTGTGGTGCAACGTGTGGCTGCAACAACTTTGTGAAACATCCACTAAAACAAAGAAAAGTGGTAAGATTGGCTTACAGTTTGATACTGTGCTGCAGTCAAACTCACCAGGACAGCCTGTAATACAGTCGGTCATCATATAGAGCTCAGACATGGAAATGACCAACAGGTCCCAGCTGAACCCCTACCACAACGTGATGCTCACCCCGCTATACTTAATGGAGGAGAACGAAACGAACTCCACCGCTGGAGAGCGAAACTCGTTGGGCTGCTTGCAGATCCGCATCCCGCAGGAGCTCTTCCTGGCGCTGGGGCTCATCAGCCTGGTGGAGAACATCCTGGTGGTTCTTGCCATCATCAAGAACCGCAACCTCCACTCGCCCATGTACTACTTCATCTGCTGCCTGGCGGTGTCCGACATGCTGGTGAGTGTCAGCAACGTGGTGGAGACCATTTTCATGCTTCTCAACGACCACGGCCTGATGGACGTGCACCCCGGCATGCTGCGCCACCTGGACAACGTCATCGACGTGATGATCTGCAGCTCCGTGGTGTCCTCGCTCTCCTTCCTGTGCACCATCGCTGCGGATCGCTACATCACCATATTTTACGCGCTGCGTTACCACAGTATCATGACCACACAGCGCGCAGTCATTATTATCGTGGTGGTGTGGCTGGCCAGTATCACCTCCAGCATCCTCTTCATCGTGTACCACACCGACAACGCTGTCATTGTGTGTCTCGTGACCTTCTTCTGCGCCACCCTGGTGTTTAACGCCGTGCTGTACCTGCACATGTTCGTCCTGGCGCACGTGCACTCAAGGCGCATCGTGGCTTTCAACAAAAACAGGCGCCAGTCCACGAGCATGAAGGGAGCCATGACCCTCACCATCCTGCTCGGGGTCTTCATTGTATGCTGGGGCCCCTTCTTCCTCCACCTCATCCTCATCCTCACCTGTCCCACAAGCCCCTTCTGCAACTGTTTCTTCCGAAACTTCAACCTCTTCCTCATCCTCATCATCTGCAACTCGCTAATTGACCCGCTCATTTACGCATACCGGAGCCAGGAGCTGCGTAAAACCCTGCAGGAGCTGGTCCTGTGTTCATGGTGCTTCGGTGTGTGACACCGTGCTCATTTAGGAGGAGAACGAGAGCATGGTGTTATCAACAATGCGTGCAATGACTGATGCGTGCTTGAACTGGCAGATGATGCTCATGCGCGACTATATATCTGATAAACTGTTGTGCAACTCATCGTGGATTTTAGGATTAGGGTTATTTCCACACATGGCTTCCGTCTTTTATGGGGATTATTTACTGTTGTGTTGGGTGCACAGGTCCCTGCATTGTGAAACACTTCCTGATTTCTTATTTTTTTGCATGTTTGTCACACTTAAATGTTTCAGATCATCAAACAAATTAAAATATTAGACAAAGATAACACAAACACAAAATGTAGTTTTTAAATGAAGGTTTTTATTATTAAGGGAAAAAAAAAATCCAAACCTACATGGCCCTGTGTGAAAAAGTGATTTGCCCCCCCCCCCTGTTAAAACATACATTAACTGTGGTTTATCACATCTTTGGAAAGCTGAGTTCAATTTCTCTAGCCACACCCAGGCCTGATTACTGCCACACCTGTTCTCAATCAAGAAATCACTTAAATAGGACCTGCCTGACAAAGTGAGGTAGACCAAAAGATCCTCAAAAGCTAGACATCATGCTGCGATCCAAAGAAATTCAGGAACAAATGAGAAACAAAGTAATTGAGATCTATCAGTCTGGAAAAGGTTACAAAGCCATTTCTAAAGCTTTGGGACTCCAGCGAACCACAGTGAGAGCCATTATCCACAAATGGCGAAAACATGGAACAGTGGTGAACCTTCCCAGGAGTGGCCGGCCGACCAAAATTACCCCAAGAGCGCAGTGACGACTCATCCAAGAGGTCACAAAAGACCCCAGAACAACATCCAAAGAACTTGCCTCAATTAAGGTCAGTGTTCATGACTCCACCATAAGAAAGAGACTGGGCAAAAATGGCCTGCATGGCAGAGTTCCAAGACGAAAACCACTGCTGAGCAAAAAGAACATAAAGGCTCGTCTCAGTTTTGCCAGAAAACATCTTGATGATCCCCAAGACTTTTGGGAAAATACTCTGTGGACTGACGAGACAAAAGTTGAACTTTTTGGAAGGTATATGTCCCATCTGGCGTAAAAGTAACTCGGCATTTCAGAAAAGGAACATCATACCAACAGTAAAATATGGTGGTGGTAGTGTGATGGTCTGGGACTGTTTTGCTGCTTCAGGACCTGGAAGACTTGCTGTGGTAAATGGAACCATGAATTCTGCTGTCTACCAACAAATCCTGAAGGAGAATGTCCGGCCATCTGTTCGTGACCTCAAGCTGAAGCGCACTTGGGTTCTGCAGCAGGACAATGATCCAAAACACACCAGCAAGTCCACCTCTGAATGGCTTAAGAAAAACAAAATGAAGACTTTGGAGTGGCCTAGTCAAAGTCCCGACCTGAATCCGATTGAGATGCTGTGGCATGACCTTAAAAAGGCGGTTCATGCTTGAAAACCCTCCAATGTGGCTGAATTACAACAATTCTGCAAAGATGAGTGGGCCAAAATTCCTCTACAGCGCTTTAAATGACTCATTGCCAGTTATCGCAAACGCTTGATTGTAGTTGTTGCTGCTAAGGGTGGCCCAACCAGTTATTAGGTTTAGGGGGCAATCACTTTTTCACACAGGGCCATGTAGGTTTGGATTTTTTTTTTCCCTTAATAATAAAAACCTTCATTTAAAAACTGTATTTTGTGTTTACTTGTGTTATCTTTGTCTAATATTTAAATTAGTTTGATGATCTGAAATATTTGTGTGACAAACATGCAAAACAAATAAGAAATCAGGAAGGGGGCAAACACTTTTTCACACAACTGTATATATATTTCATTTTGCAATGAATGGGCCGGCATACATTTTCAAACATGGGCAAGAAAAATGGGCAGATATTAGATGACATATAAGAGAAAAGTGTTGTAGCCGTTAAATGACATGACAGCATATTAAAACTCTTGTTGCAGCCTAATTCGTGGGGTTGTGCGTGGATTACTCTGCCAAAAATAAATGTCTGGATGACAGAGGGAAAATGATGGTCAAAATCACATGCACTGCCTGGCTTGGTGCTAAAAGCCCGGGGCATAAGCGGGGTTTTAAAATAAAGCATATCAAAGTAATATTTCTGGAATTTTGTGTGGTCCTCTAAAATGTGCTAATGAGGGTGGCTTCTGAAAGATTTGGGGAGTGACTTCAGCTATGAGGGTCAAACGAGTGGGACTTTAAGCCTGGTGGCCTATACAGACGTTTTTGTAAAATAGTTGTTTTTTTAAACACAATTCATACTTCTTTGTCTAAATGCCACAAATGCTAAAATACAACAAATATATCAAACGGCCATGAGACCGCCTAGACTTGATGCATAAGGCCAATAGAGACAAAGATTAAACTATCCTGAAATGTGCTTTGAGTTGCAACCTATTGATCTTGAAATTAAGAATCTTACTATTTTTTATCTTCTTTTTTATGTTTAATTATCCTGTTGATATCCTATTTTCTATTGATCCTAAGGATTTGTTGGAACTATGGCCTACATTTTAGACTCTAAGTGACCTTTAGAAAACCTGAGATTAAGTCGTCTGTATTTGAGCCATGAACGGTATTGTTGCTTCCTATAAAATTGTTGTGTTATAAGTGGTTTGCCACATGTTTCCAAATTATGGAAAATGAATTGCATATCCCATGATCAAGCTGTCTTAGACAAGACAAAAATAATTCAACTTCACTGGTGATGCAACCATGTGTCAAATGCATGTTAGCGTTGACAGTAATACTACTTGCTTGCCAGAATATTTGCTCACTGAATTTAGTGTAATTTTCTTTTGATTTTGCACTATAACTCCATTTACTTTTTGTGTAGTATTAGTATGGTACTTTTGCTTTTCAGACCATAGATTAGTTTGTAGGTTTTCCTTCTTGGTGTGGGAGTTGGGAATGTACATTATGGTCATCTGGTATCGGAATTATAAATCTCAATGTTGCTGCGGAACTCAGTGCTTCGGTATGCTCTAAACCTGATTCAACACATATTGTAAATGCGGTTAAAAACTACAGAATGCTATACTCATGATAACTTGAAATTGAGTGAAACAGGACTTTGTTGTACAGCTATTTTATATAAGGTGTATGTGTTATATGAAATCCTTGGAATTGTTTACATGCTACCTATTTGTCTCAAATAAAGAGGCCACAACAAAAAGAGTTTGTGGTAAATTAATAAATGAATGAAACAGCATTATTATTATTATTATTATCTACTCCTCAAATCTATTTTCCATGATTTTTCATCTTGTTGTTATCGGCTGGTGTTAGCAGGTTGTGTTACTTATTTGGAGACTATTCATTCAATAATATTGACACCAAAGGCTTTCTTCATGCATGGACATGCTAACAAGATGCTACAGTTTCTCTAAGATATTGCTGTAGTTACCGCCATGTTTCAGAGGTGCCAAATAAGGAGATATGGTTATCCAATTAATAATTGTAAAAAATTAAATTAAAAGATATGTAAAAATGTCAATTCATTCCACCTCAGAACGTGTCTCTGCAATATATGCAAATGATAAGCCACGACAACTTCACGTCGTTGAACTTAAATATGTTTACATGCAACGTGAACACTTCTGATACATTTGCTCATAGCAGACAGAAGGACCATTGATATATAACACAACAGAGACGTTTTTGAAATGTTTAACTCATGATCAAGTTAATTTGCTGTGTAATAAATAAATAAATAACCCCATTGAAGAGAAGGGGATTTCCAGCTGAAACAAATGTAAATCCTCAGCCTGTCCTCAAGGAACAAATTAGAAATCTTAATTGTTTTAAATCATTCCATAAATCACTGGATTGATTTAACCATGTAGGCATCACCGATAAAAAACTAAATCAAATGTCGTCTCACCGTTTTAACAGAAAACAAGAGGCAAAAATCAAATCAAATTTTCATAAAAATTAAGGCATGTCTGCATTTTTTGGGATATGCATTCTAAATGTTTAGCAATGGCCTTTTTTATTAATTTAAATTATAATCACTTGTTCTTTAATTAATGTATTTGTTTATTTTAGTACCATAATTATATTACTATTATTAATATATAACTTTTGTTCCAGAGTATTATGAAAGGCCTGAAACCATGAAGATTTCTTCAGTATGATAATTGGTGATCTGTGGCTGAATATAATTTGTCACCCTGACCAAATAATTTATTGTGGTAGTTGCTGCAGGGACTTGTTGCTTTGAGTTATTTTTATTTATTTTTTTGTTATCCAATACTGTGCCCAGGAGGTGTTGTTGAGAAAAGAAAAACTAATTCGTGCTCTTGATTTTGTATTGTTTTTTTGTTTTGTTTTGAGTGAAATAAGCAGTTTTGAAGCTCTGTCTCTCGGCTTCCAAATAAAGTCAAAGTCAAAAGTCAAAGTTTGCTTTATTGTCAATTCCACAATGTACTGAACATACAGGGGAGTTGAAAAGACGTTTCTCTCTAGTCCAACATATAAACATATAAAGTGAATACAGTGCAATA